CTGGTGGCATTGATACATTGACTTGAAGGATTCGCTCCTGGATAAAAATGTGGTGACTATAAGGAGCCACCTGTATTATTAGGCCCATTGTACACTCATTAAAAAAGGCTGAAACTAGGTTTTTGCAGCCATGGCACTCTGGTCCCAATCTGATCCATCAAATGCTTTCAAAAAAAAGTTGTCCTTCTTTCAATAGAAACACTGATCCATCTCCTACATTTATCTGCTCAGTTCTTAACTCCCTGTTTCGGTCCAGCATACCAACACCTACCTATTATTTTAGCTTTTATTGGACATGTAGATACAAGCAGAGGAGGTAGAGTACCCAATAATTGTACTCAAGGGTAGCATTTAACATTTTTTTACCAAAGTAAAAGTAAAAAGTAGTCATCCAAGAAATAACTCCAGTAAAGGTAAAAAAGTATTTGGTAGAAAGGCTACTTGAGGACTGAGGAAGTGTTGCATAATAACACCAGGTTTAATTTTTATAACTGATGCTGGCAAACAGACTCTATGTGCAACTTTTAAATGCCCAGATGAATATAAAAGAAAAAATATGTGCAGATAAAATACTTTTATTTTGTTTTTTTAACATAAAATGTATGAAAACCATTCCGTACAATGAGAACTGTATATATGTTAGGACAGGATAACAAATTCCACTTTTAATATATATTGTTTACTGTAGGTTTTACCTGATTTTGGAATAATTCAAATTAGTCAGACGAAAGAGAAGTCAGAGATTTTACTCAAGTAGTATGAGGAGCGATACTTTACAAGAATATCACTCAAGTAAAAGTAAGAAGTGGCACAGTAAACCTACTTCTAAAATAAATTTTTTTCCAAAGTGTTCCTCAAGTAAGTGTATTTTTTTTTAGCTTTTTTATTGTCATTACACTATCACAAGTACAGAGCAATGAAATTCACTCTGAATTTGACCCATCCCCTTGGGGAGCAGTGGGCTGCACACAGGGAGCAGTGTGGGGTTTCCTGTCTTTACTCAGGGACCCAGATTGGCAGTCTGTGGGAGTGGGGCTTGAACTCAAAACCTCTGGATTCCAAGTGGAATGCCCTAACCACTAGGCTGCCACTCCCACTAAAAACTGAGTAAATGTAAGTAATTAGCACTCACCTCTGCATACAAGTCGTGTTTTAATTTTTTTATGTGATCAGGTCAATCTGAACACCTACAGTAAGGATGACCTCTAGGTTTAGCTTAATGATAAAACTGTGAGTGAACAGCCAAATCTTTAGGATAGATCTTTAGGTTAGCAGTTATACTTATATAGATAGCTAAAGGTAAAGAATACAGGAATAAGGATCTGTTGTGGTTCGATGTGAGAAAAAAGGTATGCAAGTTTTTCCAGGGGAGAAAAAAAGGCTTAGGGTTAAGCTTATTCTGCTGACTTATTCCCAAAACAGAAACATGAGTTAGGAAAAAAAAAGTGCTGCACACAGTGCATCAAATTGGCCAAGACTCAATGTGAAATACCCTGAGGGCTGTAGAGCCAGACAGGTGTGCAGGGCTGTCCACAGCAAACACAGCCGGAGGCTCAAATGTCTAGATTCTGAATGTTTTTGCTTTTATGCAAGGACAAAATAATCATCTGAAGAGCAGATCGAGAACTGCTGCCTAAAACGTGTCAAAGTTCTTGTTTTTATGAGTAAAAAGCTGCCCGCTTGTCTTACAGTGCAAACACATCTTCATCTGTTACATGGTTTAATAATTGCTACCTGAATAGATGTGGTTCTTAACTCAGTAGGTGGTCTGCTTAACAGCCTTGGCTTCATGACAAGTTCACGTCCAGCTACCATCACAGATGAGACCCTCTGACACACTGAGACTCTTTTCCACATTCCCCGGATGACTCTGCATGCTCATTCCTCTGAAACAGAACTCTAAGCTGAGACAGGAGGCAAGAAAACACCGAAACTATGCACGCGCAGGAGCACAAGCTGCTATTATAGACTATTAAAGCTGCAGGTATCTGGGCCGCAAGCCAAAATGGCAGGAAAGTGACCGAGTTTCTCCAAAATAACTGTGGCGCTCATATTTAAATGGCTGGTTTCTTGCAGTCAGTGATGTGTAATGCTTTAAGCTTAGTTTTAAGGAAACTAACCAGGGTAGCTTTGAGGCTTATGAATGTTTTTCCAAATATATTATGAAAAAAAATACTAAAACCTACAGCAATCCCCTTTACTATGATGTGAACAAAGCCAAACTCACTCTAACCCTAGCTCAGTATAAGCCACTGTGGTTTGTGAAAAAAAAATCATTAGTGGATGTAGAAGCAACACTTTTTTGTGATATTGATGTTTAAAAGTTTAAAGCAGGGTTAAAACAATACTCCAAGATTTGGGTATATATTATCAGCTGAAATGAAAGCCCAGAGACCCAGAGTCAAATATGGAGGAGCTGCAGAAATTCACTGATCAGGAGGGGAAAATATTCTGACACAATAACTGATTTTATGCTTAAAAAAGAAAAGATTAATCTTTTTTGCAGTTTGCCACAATCCATGTACGGTATGCATGAAGGAGGTTCTCCGATAGGACTGAAAAAACATTTTACTCTAAAACACTATGAAGGAAAACTAACACAATCCTTCCCAACAAACGTACTGTTAATTACAGTGAATACAGTGATCACAGCATCATTTCGGTGTATTCTTCTCCTGAGCAGCAATAGAGAAACTACAAGTTAAAGGGAAGATGGATGGAGCTAAATTCAACCTGATCCCAGAAGAAATCCTTTTGAAAGCTGCAAAACAATAGAGACTGGAGCAGAGGTTTAGCTTCCAGCTGCTAAATCACCTAAAACATGCAGCCAGAGCCACGGTGAAATGGTTCAAAGTGAATTCATAGGCGTAAATGGCCGTGTTAAAGTTCAGACCTAAATTCACTTGAAAATGATGAACTCAGGAGTGTTCTCCATCCAGACTAACTGAGCATGGGCTGGCAGACGTACCCCTAAAAAGACTTGTACCTTTAATCCCAGCTCAAAGTTAGAGGATGATCTTTTATTTGTGGGTGAATATTCTAAATAAGTGGTCCTCTAAATTGTCAATCATTCTGGTGATAAGTTTAAGTAGGACCGTCCTACATGCTCATCCAGTTAGCTTATCTTTTTCTGCACATATGCACTTTCAGGTGTATATCTGACGGTTTCAGACAGTCATTGAAGGTCACCTTTCTCACCACAGTTCTCTGAAAATGGCCGAGGGTCGTAAGAGAAAAAGTGTCTACGATGTGTATGAGAGGAAAAGAAAGGCCTCAGAAGAGGCAGATGTTTCCCAGAATGCTTTGCTCTCACAGTTGCCCAATGTCGCTACAGGCTTCTGCCCCTCAACAGCAGCGACTAATGTCAAAGATGGCGCAAGCACCACACAATGAACCAACGGGGAAGTGATCATCTGTCCGTAGGCCAAGTCGAAGTTCACTATGAAGTCGATCGGAGCTATGAGAACAGCTACTTTTAAACAGAGCGTGCACGAGGAGAAATGGGCTTGTGCATGCTCTCGCAAGCGCATTTTTTTAAAGTGGAGAGGTCGGTTCTTTTAAATAATGCAAGAAAATCTTCTACAATAACTTTAAGTCAATTGCATGCACTTTTTTTTTTATTACCAGAAACCTTAAAAATGTATGAAAAAAATCACAAAATAAGACTATTTGGATGCAGCTTTTGTTTAAAGGAGATAAATGTTGAGGTTATGTGTGCGTCCTATACGGTGCATCCACAGACACACACATACATGCTCAGACAGCCGCCGTCTGAGTGGCAGGTGATGGGACAGGTGCTTCTCCAGACAGTTGTGGGGGGAAGGAGGAAGTGGGAGGGGGATCATACTTTGCATCTGAGTGTTATGTGAGCAGACATGCATGAGGAAATCAGATCTAAGCGACGGCCTATAGGTGAAAAAAATCATTCCCAGCTAACTGATTCTTTTTTTCTTTTTTTGGGCCTGGTTCTGACTTCTTCATCTCATCTGGCAGTGATCATTCCAGGAAAAAAAGGTTAACAAGGCGTCAGGGATCATGCAGAGGATTTCCTGCCTGTAATAAACGGCAGTTGAACAGTTCAAGGTCCTGATTTGAATTTGGTCCTGGTACACATTTACCAGACATGCAGATTGTGCATTCAGGCCTGGACTAAGGTGGTGAATCAGACCAGTAAAAACCGCAGCGACCTTATTGTAAAGCGGTAATATTTACAGACAAACTATCTACACACAGGGCAGCAGACACCTCACATGACAGAGCACTTAGTCATCAGGTGGGCAGACAGAAACACAGCCTCACCTCAGCTCACCTTCTCTCCAACAGGATTGGCAGTTTCAAATGATGCACATGACAACAAAAACTAAATATAAGCAAAGTTATGATCTGATGAATGTATTCATGCCTTTCAAAACACTCTTTAGGACTAGAATAATCTGTTTGGTGCCACAGAAGCATCAGAAGTTTGCCTCTTACCCTTAAAAATTCAAGAAAGGAGAGCCAAGCGCCAACTTTTAGCCACATAGAGTTCCTAACAACCCTTCATCTAACATATTCCAGACATGCACTTACCTGCCTCGCTCTGCAGCAACCCACTGCTACTCTGTAACATCACATTTAAAGGCTCACTGCCTAAGGAGCTGCTGGAGATATTATCGATGCAAGAAGCAGCTTCTTCAAAGGGAATATTTAATAGAGAAGCTAATAATCTCTCAGGTACCAAACATGCATCTGCTTAAGCTGGATAGTTGGATCTCTGGAGCCTTTATCTAGGGCTTTATTTACAAATACAAATCAGAAATTAATTAATTTGCAGGTCATTTAATGAGCCGCACAGCTTTCTTTTTACAGAATGCACAACATAAAAAGTACAGCCTGCTCACTCCTTCCTATACAGCCCAGCTCACCTTTCACTCCCTGCTACAAAGTGCTCAGATGACAAGTTTTGGAAAGATGCAGATTTATTAGCTCAGATTGTTCATTTAGGGTAACTGGTACCATACCTCGCTGGCGTTCGCAGCCTAGAGTTTGTGCTGGACGATGGCCAGCAGCAGTGTGTGAATCCAGGCCATCCCAGGGTCAGCCTGAGCAAGTCTGCAATCCATCGCTGCCTTGAGTTCCTCTCGGCTTCCCTCCTCCCCTTTCTGCACTTGGCTTTCTTTTTTGGATCACAGCAGACTTTTTGAAACTGTGTCTCTCTTCTTGATTTCTCTTCTGTTTGTTCCTCTTACTTCTGTTTTTCCTCAGAAAATCAAAAACAGGTTAAAAACAACTCCCGCTTGCTGCTCTCATAGCTACTTATAATGCAGATCCACTCTCTGAGCTTCTCTGCTTCTTTACCCTCCCACCCTTCTCTCTCTCTCTCTCTGTTTCTCCCTGCTACTGTTGGAGAGGAGCGCTCCTTCTTTCTCTTATTCTCCTCCCTTTTTGCTGCCCTTCCTCTAATAGTTATTTAGTGTCTCATTTCAGCACCTGCCCTGACACAGAAAGAGGAGAAAGGGAGAGGGACAAACGGACTTGGTAACAATAATGTTTATCTGATAGGAAAGTGTGCCCAAGGTGTGTTGTGGAAGCTTATTTACTCTTTAAATTTGTCAACTTTTTTACCGTTACCATCAAGAACTGATATTGTTTTACTGAAATTGTATTTTTGTTTTGATGTATCAGGTTAAAGAAGAGAAGATATCCATGCCACACTTTTCAGATTTCACAATTCATTAACAAGTGTCGATAAATATGGAAATGGAAGAAGTCTCATTATCTAAGAGTTGTTTTGTTTTCATCCTTCCATCTTTGTTTCCTTCTTATTCGTCCCATTCCCTCCTTTTTTCTTTCATAACCTGCTTTATTGTCTCCCTCCTTCAATCTTACATTCTATCCTTATTTCCTTGTGATCTTACACCTTTCCTTGTCTTTACTTCCCATCTTACCTTGCATAATCATTTCCTTCTCAGTGCCTCTTTTTCTGCACTTCCTCACATCCTTTTTCTTTCTTGTATCTTTTCTTCTTCCTTTACCCGACCCTTTCCTTTCCCTTTATTCTCTCATTTTGTCATAATCTGCATCTCACTCTCCTTATTTTCTCTATTCCTTTCTACCTTTGTCTTTTAAAGCCTGAAAACCCACTATTCATGATGAATATTTTTATATAATTAAAACAGAAAACTAAATTTTAGTCTGGATCATTTGGGAAATTATACAAAATGTTCTTTAAATAATCATTTAGTATCACTGAGATTTGTGTTTTTAAAAACACATGAAAATATTTTTTTTCCTCTTTATTGTTATGTGCTGCTTTGTTTTTCTCCATCACATACAATCCAAATAATAAATATGAAACACATTTTCTCTGTATTTAGCTCCATCCATCTTACCACAAACTCCTTTCCTGCCGTAGTAAAGAATACCCACAGCCTGCTATGATTCATGATGGTATGGAGAGTTTAGCTTCTGTCACATTTCTTTTTGCATGTTGCAATATTAAATTTTATCTCTTGGGCTTGATTCAATTAAATGCTATTGGAGTATTGTTTCTAAAAATGAAGAAAAAAAAAATTCAGAGACATCGCAGAATTTTCTTTTATTCAGTGACAGCTCTACCTTGTGTTCTGTCACATAAAATCTTAACACATTTCATTAAGGTTGCCAGGCTTATACACACAATGAGCCTTATTTGGAGTGATTTGATAACACTACGTGCTTTATAGAAGCAAAACTTTGCATAAAAAATATTTGCATGTCTGTGGATTTGTTCAAACAGCCCAATAGTTAACAGAACCTCCTACTGCATCCAATACAGGTAGTTTCTTCCACATATCAGGCTTGTGAGGTGGTGACAGATTGGAGCTGCTAAGGGTTGCTTCAGCTCTCGTCTATTTTAGTGCTCTCTGCTCTGTCAACTGTGTTCACTTATTAAAGATAGTGGGGGGAGTGGAGGGGGCGGGGGGTTAACTCAGGTCAGCAGTTTCCTCTGCAGCGTTGGATGCCCTATTTGTTTTGTTTCTTTGCAGGAGCACAAAAGAAAGTTATAAAACACAGAAAATACTAAAGCCATCGGCAATCTAGGTTTATTCGATAAAAGTAAAAGCTAATTTAATTTTGGTTCCTACATTGTGTTTCAAAGCAAAGGAAAGGAGCTTTTGTGTGGATAAAGATTTATATGCTGTGTTTGCTATTCTTCATTTTTACCTTCAGGCTGATTTTCAGCTCTCCCTCAGCAGCTCCTGCATGCAAGCGCTTCCTCAGCGATCCAGCCAGTGTCCACAGTGCATACCTGTGCTCACTAACATGTACTAACTCACTCTTCTTGCAGGCCATGGCAGAGGAACGCGCAGCAGTCACAACAATTCAAAGATTGAACGTGGCAAAGAGGGAGGACGGGCTGAGAAGAGGAGGCTATTAAAACAGAAAGGATGGTAGAAATTACAGAAGAGGGCAGGGAAATGGGTGAAAGAAAGGTGAGGTGGAGAAGATGAGATCAAAGAAAAGTCAGAAGTTGCCAAAGGGCTGCAGCCTCTTGTAGATAGTGTGAGAGGAAGAGAGAAATCATTAACAAACGCCTGTCAGTTTCTGGCTCCAAATAAATCAGAATCTTCTGCCTGTGTCCTTGAAGAGCAGAGAAAGTTACATCATGGAGAGAAGAAAAAAATGGAGATGGTCGATGGTTTAAAGATGATCAATGTGAACATTCATCCCTGCAGCATCATATTTTAACATGACCTTCACACTGAGCAGCATAATGCATTCAACAAAGATTTATTTCAGTCTAAAATACAAAAACAGAACTCACAAATGAAATACTTCCTCATTCAAAGTGCTTTTTGTTCTTGTTCTGTTTACAGTACTGTACATTAATATTCAAAAATACTCCATACAAACATTGTGCAGAGCATAAAGGTTGAAAAATCCGACATGCTAAAAGATGATGAGAGAAAACAAAACAAAACATACAATCAGTCTGTTAAAAATTGACAAGGAATCTAATGAAAACCTTGTGTTTTCTCTGCAGTCTTACAGTATTAGCCAGCAATAAACAGAGGGCAAACTTTGACCCCAAGGCAGCGATGATAGCAAACAGCTCTGATATAAAGATTAAAGTTGGTTTTCAAGCAATGGGAAACCCGACTGAGACCATGAAGTCAGTAGTTTACTGCCTTTCATGTCAGTGGGGGCGCTTTCAAGTGTGAGAAAAATTGGGGTTATCTCTGCTTGAGGTTAAAGACTACAAATGATTAACCGAGAGCTGATGGTTCACAGTGAGGTGGAGTCAGGTTTACACCTGAAGGATTCTTCAGACAAAACTCCTCCAACTATGTTTCGTCATGAAAAAATGTTTTTGTTTGACTCAAACTGCAGCTCATAATAATTGAAATATAGCAGACCTTGTATTCATAATGATGGAACATTTCATAATTTGTCATGATAGACCACAAATATATCTTGTGGCCATTTTATGTTATACACCTCCAAACTGGAAAGGAAGTTTTCCAAACAAAGTTATTCGGCCCCTTTACTCAGATACCTATAAATAAAATCTAGTTGTAGAGGGTATGGCTATACCAGCTTTCCCCATCTAAATACCTTCTTTTGCTTCTTCTTCTTTACAAATATGTGTTAGGTGCAGAACATATACATACGTTTGTTTTAGCACTGAATCCTGAATTAGATTTAAAGTTTCTGGGGTTTTTTTTTTTTTTGACTGGAACTTTTTAAGATGGGCATATAATGCATCCAAACTATGGAGGAACATGGTCACATTAGGATGAGAGCTTTTTTAGACGCTGCATTTCTTAACATGTGTTAAAAAGGTATTTTGATGCTAGATATGGAAATATGACTTTGCCCCCTGGATTGTCTATTTGGAATAAAGACTCAAGACTCTACATCAAAGAATGTGGACTATATCATATCACTGGGCTTTTTAGCAGCAAAACGTATAATCTTGCAGAACTAGAGGGAGAGGAACTATAAATGCTTTGATGTACAGCATTGGAACAAAGACTTTTTGGAATTGGTTGCTATGGAACAGGTCGCCATGATCCTATATAATCAACCAGATTCCAGATTGTCTGGACCTTGAAACTATATTATATTTAGAATTAAACCAAAAATAATAAAAATTATTTTGAGTCTGATAATTGGAATCTAATGAGACTATATTACTTCCATAATAGTGGTAAAATAAGTGCAATTTCAGTGGATAAAAGCCACTGCACTTGATCTAGACCAACTGCATTGGCTTGAGTCATTAGAAGGTTAACACAATTTTGTATCTGAATTTCTGCAAGAGATATTTAGCATTTCAAATTTCAATCCATCCATTTTCTCCTACTTAGTCCTTGTCAGGGTCGCGGTGGGGCCGGTGCCTTTCTCTGACAGTCTATGGGCGAGAGGCGGGGTACACCTTGGATAGGTCCTCGGTCTATCGCAGGGCCACACTGAGACACACAACCATGCAACCAAACACTCACACCTAAAGAGAATTTAAAGAAACCAATTTATCTAACAATCATGTTTTTGGACTGTGGGGGGAAGCTGGAGTACCCGGAGAGGACCCACACAAGCTCAGGGAGAACATGCAAACCTCATGTAGGAAGACCCCAGGCTGGGAATCGGAGCCAGAACCTTCTCGCTGCAGGGCAATAGCACAACCCACTGCGCCAATCTGCAGCCCCATTTCAATTTTATGAGGAATTTCTATGGCTGAATTTTTACAGCTGATTTGCAAATTTCTCCAGGGGAAATATAGGCAGATTTTTTGTTGGTGAATTTCAAGTAAAAAATAAAACTGAAACATAAATAGGTTAAAACTTCAGTGTTACAAATTATATGTCTTAAAAAGGTGTGGCTCTAATGAGACTGTATTTGTTCCATCCTTAACCAGTTCTTTTTGCAGCCAAGGATGATAGTATAAGGTTTTACAGGTTTTCCTCATATTAACTTTTATGTTCCTGTTGAGGAAAACAGCAGGAACACGGTGCTACCACTAATAAATAAACATTTATTTAGTAAAAAATGTTTCTGTCAAAACATTGTTTTTGTTCAAGCTAAATCTGAACCAGGCTAGCTAACCTTAAAGCTGAAGTCTGTAAGCTTTTAAAAATCACTTTTTTGTCATATTGGCTAAAACTGTCCCTATGCCCAGACAGCAGTACATGTGATATGTAACCTGTGAAAAAAACTGCTTCAATTGGTACCGCCTACTGCCTGTATTTCAATCTGGAAAGAATAATTCGGGACGAGTCAAAACAACCAATTACAGCCAGAAGTGCGTCTGATGGAGTGTCAATCACAGCTCATACACGCTGAATCTCCCCCCCCCCTTCTGGTCGCATGCGGTAGCCGCGCAGATGCTATGAGAGGGGTGGAGCTTGGAGGTGAAGCAGAGAGGGTGGGGGAGTGGCGTGAAACCTGTTTTTCTTCAAATTTTCAGTCGAAGTCTGCTCTCTCCTCAATGTTACAGACTGCAGCTTTAATAGCCATAAATTTGATGTTAAAGGATGTGCAGCATGGGGTTGGAGAGATCATAGTGGATCTTTTGTGTTTATAATGTGCAGTAGAAATGCAGTGATGAGTTACATGGATTCTCTGATACTGACTATTAAGCTGCATCAGATAAAAGATGCTGATCCAGCATTTCGATTTAGCCATTTGTAATTTCATTTATATCGTACACAGCAATACAGGTAAAGCAATCCTGGGACTTAAATTTTATAATATCCCTTTTTTTTTGCACTGAGCACAAGCATGTTGATGTTTTACTCCTGGGTTTCAGTTTTTTTATGACATTAAAAGCTTGCTTTTCCAGAGTGCTTTATTGCAGGACTTTATTGTAACTTTGGTGTTAAAAATTACTTCTACTATCATGCATGGATTTGCATGATAGCCACAACTCACTCTTCCCCTTTGTTTGGCAGCTATCCCACTCTAAGCTTATTACTGCCACCTAAAGAGCTGGAGTGAGAAATTTATATTTAATTTTACCAATATTGAGTCCTCACGCGATTTGAAAATGTTTTTTTTTTTATTGCAGTTATATTGCAAATAATATTTATTGTGCAGCCTTAGAGCACACATCAGCTAGTGATGAGTTATATCAGTGTTCATTTGTTACATTTTCTTTAACAACAGTAATATCAGTTTAGTATGGGATATTGGGCAGTACGCTCAGCCCATGTATTGGATTGGATTGCATTGGGAAAAAATCGGTTTGTGCATCTCTAATGCTCTGTATTAGCTTAACGTTGTACATACTATTATGCACGCAGGCCAATTAGATAACCTTATTTTCTGAACTATAAGCTGCTACTTTTTTCCTTCCCTTTGAATCATGCAACTTATGCAAAGATGTGGCTTTTCTGTGGATTTTCCTAACCACCATGGGGCGGAACTGAAAACAGGAAATCAAAAAAGAAGGGGTTAATGTTCATTTAGAAGAGAACAACTGTCCCAAATTCCCACACTTTTACATTTATTTGCTGCATTAAACTGAAGGAGACTATGCATAACTCCTACAGAGCTGAAATTTTCCATTAGAAGTTAGCAATGCCAACAAGATAACAGGAACAATCATCCTTCTCTCCCTTTTCTAGGGGTGATATAGCCCTAGGTTTGTTTGGGTACAGTTCAGTAGATATTAGCTGCTTGGTGTGTAGGTTTCCAGCTTAAATACAAAAAACTTTGTGGATAAGTCTTATAGTCAGGTGTGCTCTATAGTTCGGGAAATACCGTAAATGTTGGAGTAAAGGGAGCTGAATAAAAATGCAGGCCACACTTTTCAGTTTGTTTTTTTTTTACTTTTAAAACCATTCAATTTCCCTTTCACAGCTACACACTACTGTGTGTTCTCTAATAAAATCTCACTTAAAAACATGGAGGTGTTTGGGTGCAACTACTTTTCCAGGCACTACACACCTCTCATTGATATACATGCTGCAGCTGCTGGTTGTCATTAACAAGCTAATCCTCAAACAGAGATTCAGATTGTTGTTTTTTTCCTCATGCTTGAATAAATGCCTTGAAGGTACTTATTATTTATATAGATCAAACATCTGCTAACTAAAGATAAAAATCCTGGTGAAAAAGCTGGGAAGCTAAAATGACTTTAGTTTTCTTTTTCTCAGTATGTGTGGAGCAATATCTATAAAATAGAGGATCATCTCATTTGCTTGGCATTTGACTTTTAAACAATAATAATAAAAAAAAGACAGTTTCAGATGTAAAGAAGTTTCTTCTCGAAAATTCCTTCGTAGCATTCCTTTTCAGTCCTGACTCAGGAATCCAAGGAACGAGTCGCTTGCTTCAAAAGAGGAACAGTGTATTTAGGTATAGATGGGAAGAATGGAGAGACAAGAGACAGTTAGCTCAGTTTACATCGGCATCCTGTAGCAAGTAAATATTCAGGCAAAGATTAATTATCTCTACTGCCATGTATTTACAGCTGTTGATACTTCTAATAAACACTATAATTCAACAATACCAAAGTCAGTGAGTGAAAAACATTAGAAAACATTTTTTTTAAATGGAAATGTATCAGAACCAAAGCTGCAGTGTTGAGAGGTTGATATGAAGGCTGGAAGTAAGGAGGCAGCTAAGAAAGTTAATGTCACCCGAAGACAATGTGATAGACAGCTATGTGTGCTACTCAAAGCTATCATATCTTAGGTTGTTTGATAAAATCTAAGCTAGAGGAGCAAATCAATATTAAATGGGTCAAAATGGACCCTTAGAGGACACTATCTGATTTTTGTGGTTTCTGATGAAAAGTTACCTACTGAGACAAGAAAGGCCCCCACCTTCAAGTAGGACTTAAATCAGTCCAGCAATGACCAGACCCAGTTTTCCAAACACTCTGATAAAATGAAGTTATTAAAGGTATAGTGAAGGATGTTCTTTTTTCGATCATCAAAATAAGTGGTCCTCCTAACTGTCAATCATTCTGGTGATATGTTTACATAAAGGCGTCCTATGTGCTCTTGCTCGTTTCCACTTACAGGTGGTGAGTCTGATATTATGGAAAATTTGCAAATCTTCTTTTGGAAAGTAAGCCTGTATGAGCGATGCAAATAGCAACTTTTAAACAGAGGGTGCACGAGGAGAAATGGGCTCCTACACCTTGGCTTATGCATCACTTAACTACACTGACTACCCTAGGTAAAGGTATGGAGGCACTGCTTTCACACTGAAACATACATATAATGCTTTCACAAACGTTTAATAGGCGTTCTCTCTCAGGAGCAGGTTCATGGTTGTGCATGTGCATTTTTCTTTTTAAACATTTGCAAAAATCCTCCACTATACCTTTATCAGAGTTGAATGTTGCACTTAGGTCCAATAACTCCAACGTCTGCCTCTATATGAATGTCTCAGTCTCCGTACTGTGGTGAGCATGGAAACCTGACTGGAAGACGTTGAAGCAGCTGGTCATTGTTAGAAGGTGCTTAAACAGCTTTTTTTAATAACCTAATGGGAGGTTTGAGATGGGCCCATAGTTCTGCAGTAGCAGCCTGTACAAGTTTGTTTTTAACTACAATTTGTTAATTATTCTTATGGCCCAGAGGAAAACATCTGACAAATGGGACATGTTTATTATGTGAGTCAAACTTAGACGTTACGACAGACAAAACTTCCCTTAATAAAGCAATGATTACAACATCTAGACAAGCAAGAGAGAGTTTAAATTATGTACAAATTGTTCTTCTTTTTTTAGAGTATTTAGTAGAACTGGACATTTTGTTAAAAAAAAAATATAATATTGAATGAGATGTTACTAAGATTCTCAAAGGATCCCAGTTATAGATGCTGGTTAACGCATGTAGATACAAACACACATACAAAGATATTCCAATAAGTGGTGCTAAAAAGTTTAGGACTGGCACTTATATTGCTGATTGGTGATAATGATGGATTGCAGTTAGTGGTTTCTCTTCACTAGCTAAGAAAGGATTTGTTTAGATAACTCATCAGATCAATCAAAACATCACCAGTCCAAGTCTAACTTAATCAATTTCAAATTTAAATCGATAATAGGTAAAATAATGTCTTTTTGATGTGTCACCACATTGCCAATATCTGAAAATCTACCACAACTGGAAAGGAAATACATAAGAGGAAAGAAAATATGATTTTCATGAACTGGTGCCTCTGTCCAAATTGGAAGCGCCGATCAAGGGAACAAACCTCTCTTCCTAAACCAACATCATCAAGGTTAACAGCTTCAAACATAGATGAGACAAATACATTTGATTGAGTTTCCTTGTCTGTATTGGAGCAGTCATGGTGATGCTCTCAAACCCAAGCAAACTTTACAGACTGTCAAAGCATGGTGATGGTATCAATATGCTGTGGCACTGCTGACTGTCAAAGCATGGTGATGGTTTCATTATGCTGTGGCACTGCTGACTGTCAAAGCTAGAAAAACAGATTCTGATTTAATTTCCAATTTAAATAGAGGCACAGCCTAATATATGCAGACAAAATCGAGTGGTTTTTCCTACCAGTTGCCACATGTTCGCTTGGAAAGAGGGATTACTGCATAGCTAATGAGTCAGATGGGCTTTCTTTGACAGGAAACATCATACTGAGCACATACTCAACTCAGTAAAACTGTTGAATTCGAAAGAATTAGAATAAAAACGGAGGATATATAACAGGATAAAAAATTTAGAGGAAGCATTAAGAACCTTAAATTAGTTTCTATCAGCTGATCAGACAATTGATGCATTGTTTTTGTACCGAGAAGTCAGTATCCAGTTTGGTTTCTTTGCAAATACCGGTAGTTTAAAAGTTAGTGAAGTTTATGGTTATTAGCAATGGCACAATATCTGTTTTACATTTTTTTTTGTGTTTTAATCCATAGAATGGAGTGAAATACTTGTTTTTTGACTTGTAATGCTTATATTAACTAGAAAAACAAGAACTGGTGCTTTTACAGCAAGAAACTCCAAACCAGGTTGTAAAAAGATCTCCCTCTAACAAAGAAAAACATTCATTTGTATGTTTTAACAAAACTGACATTTAAAGTTTGCCCTTAAAACTCTTATAATTTTGGTTTCAGTTTTTATAAAGTATTTTGTGAGTATTCTATAGGATTGTGTCTCACTGAGAAGACACTCCTCAATGTTTAGCATTTTCAGATCAGATCAACTTTAACCTACCAACAGTGCTTCTTGGTTCTCAGCCAGGGCTTGCTTGGCGAGGTAACGCTCCCTCTTAATCTTCAGCTCCAAAGATTCAGGGACATCAGGAACAATCCAGTCAATGGCTCGCAGGACAAAAAACACAACATGCTGTGGTAACAAAATGACAAAAAGAGGTTCTGTTAACAAAGAAAAATAAGTGAACACTGTTTGTTTCACAGAATATGTTTAAAAGAACTATTATGATGCAAAAGTAGTTCAGTTTTGAACTAAACTTTAGTGGAACCCTTCATACCTCGAATGCAATGATGAAGCCAAGTCGGACGGCAAGAAGCTCCCAGTAGAAGAGTGTATAAGCTCCATTGTCATCTCTAAATGCTTTGTATCTAAAATAATAAAGCACAGGTAATGCAGTGCAGAACTTACAGTGTACATGTATTTTATATCAGGTGTTCAATACGAGACACACCACCCTCTACTGGTCAAATTTAGAATTTCAAGAAATGCAAATAATCTTTTAAATGAACAGAAATCTCCAATCCAATTTGAATTGTTAAGCCCTAATAAAACGAGCAGAGCCACCCAAAGTGCTGTACAGAAAAAAGTAAATAAGCAAAGCATAAAACAGCTAAAATATGGGTAAAAATAACATTTAAACCTATCAATAAAATAGGGTAAAACATAAAAGGCCACTGTCTTGCTAGGTGTCAAAAGCAAAAGGTGGGTTTTGACTAGAGATTTAAACACAGTCAAATAAGAGTCCTGCCTGATGTGCTTTGGAGCTGCAACAGTGAAAGTGTTGTTTCCTCTGAGCTTTTGCTTAGTTTTGGGCTCTCAGGAGCAGCTGACCTGAGAGAGTGAGTAGGTCTATGAGGTATGGTGGGGAAAGCCCATTCAGGCATTTAAAAGAAAATAAAATAATTTTAAAATTTCTAAAATACAGGGGCAGCCAGTTGAGTGAAGGGTTATACTTGCATGTGCCAGTTAAAAGGCCTCCTGCAGCATTTTGAACCATCTGGAGACCGGGGATGGAGGAGGCACTAACTCCCACATAGAGGGCATCGCAATAATCTAACCGAGTGGTAACAAAGGCGAGGATTACCGTTTCAAGCTGTTGCCTTGAAAGAATTTGCTTTAAATCTGATTAAACAATTAATCTAATGCATAATGAACTCAATAACTGTTGGTCAAAGAAAATATTTTTGATGAGGTACTTGCTAATCTATTTAAATTGAATCATCTTCTGTAAAACTGCAGCAACTAAGCTTTCTGCATGATTCATTCTAACCCCTGATTTTAGATCAAAGAATGAATGATTCTTGAATGATCATGAATTACCAAGGTTGTTTTTTGTTTTGTTTTTTAATAATCTCCAAGATCCAAATCAAGTTTAACGGTAACTGCTGAAAGCAAATATCTGACATACAAGCTATTAGAAATCCAAACTGTCCTAAAATAAAAGCATAGCATTCTTTAGTCTCACGTTTCTTTGCACATGAGTAAGAAAAACATGATGATAAATCAGAAAAAAATAAACATGAAAAATATCTTATATGAGCCTGTTTTGGTAAAGAATACCTGCTACTTACACTGATACTAAAAGACACCTAGTAAAATGAATAAATTATATAGTTTTCATTGATGATTTCTAAAATATAGTATAAAAAAATATGAATTAATTCCTTTGCTTATCTTTTAGTTTTAATATGAAAACAGAAAAGCAGTTCCTCCATACCTGCACCTCGGGTAGTCAGTGTAGTTGAGTGGTGCATAAGCCAAGGTGAAGTTAACATATCCATTCAGATCGTCACTGAACTTATACTGGTAGAGCAAGCGAGGCAGAAAGTCTGAAGTGAAGGCGATAAGAAAAGCCTGAGAAAATACAAAAATTGCTTCATTAAAGATGTGATCCGTTTGCTGATAACCATGTGATGTCTATTGAAAGGTAATCACAGATCTATTTACGTTGGCAATGACAGAAAGATGGGACAAGGCTTCCAAAATGTTGAACCAAACTCCAATGTTCTGGGCTCTCTCTGCCACCGGTCGGCGGTATTCACACACAAACTTATGGGCATCCAGGCGGATCTCCACCCAGTTGTTGAGGAGGGCGAAGAGCGGTGCAAGGGGGAAGGCTGCCACAAAGATTGTGATGAACCCAAACTGGAGGACTGGAAGACAGGGAGACAGTTTTACTGGATACAAACACCACCTCGTTCAAGACTCAGCTCAAATACTGTTTATCCATGGAAAAAATGTCTTTAAAAGCCTTGAAATAAGGTGTTATAGAGGAAGAAGCTCTGGGTTTTTCCTTTCCTTCCCTGCCATCCCTCTCAGTGTTTGGAGGCATGATAATCATGGGTCCTTTTGAAATTTATTTGTTATTTTAAACTTGGTTAACAGCCTGACTTTAGATGAATTCAAAAGATTTGTTATCTTCTTAGTTATTTGGGAACTTATGAGAATTAAAGGATTACTGCTATACATTAATAGCATGTTCTCTGTCTTTCCAATTTCAAAAGGTGAGTATTGGACTTTTATGTCAAATCAAAGTTATTTCCTGGGGAAACAGGAAGTCTTGCATTTTTTATTTTTTTTTATTATGGTTTTGTTTACTCTCCTGAATTAGTGATGATTTTCATCCTGTAATACTTTTAAACTATACTATTTTATTTTTGCATTAAGCTCTAATATGTAATTTTAGTTTTTTTTTTTATGTTAATGGTCATCATACATCCCAGTACTTATAAAGTCACATGAACTTCAGAAACCATGAGATTAACTGCTCAGTGTCTTAAAGTCACTAAAGTTAAAGGCTTTTGTATTTGTAGCTCTTATGTTCTGTAATGAATTACCTCCATCTGCATTTTGTGGACTCAAAGGATCTAAAAAAAAAAATTAAACAACAAAAATAAACCAAAAAAAAGTAAAAACCAATAACCGTAGACTGTAGTTTAATTTAATTACTCCACATGACTGGTTCTTGCATATTTTTTTTTATTTTTTTTACATGATTTTGTTTATTTTTGTTAAACCGTTTCTTTGTTTTCAATATGACAGAGATAAGATTTTCACTATATATATATATATATTTAAAAAAAAGGCTGTTGTCATGGGACATATTTTTTATGTTAATTTACAGCATTACAGACACTTTTTACATTTTCAATTTTCTAACAGAGTTTTCTATGATGTGGGTGTTTATTTTACTATTATTTTTTATGAAGACCTAGAGGAAGACCCATGACCCAGGGTTGGTATGTTTCTAGGCTGGCCTGGGAAAGCCTTGGGATTTGCCCGGAGGAGCTGGCTGGATAGGCTGGGGAAAGGGAAGCCTTAGCTCTACTAAGGCTGCTACCCCCACAACCCGGCCCGCGATAAGCAGGAGAAGATGGATGGATGAATGCTTTTTATGTACTATCTACCAGGTGTTTCAATAAATGAAGAAGGTACTGCATTAATATCATCATTGTTGATCTTAGTTACCCATTTCCAGGTATTCCTCAAACAGGCCTCCACAAGGTACCAGCTTGTAGTCTTCCTCCCAGCGCCTCGCCTCGCCTGTCTCATTATCTCCCAACACGCTGGCCAAGGTTCTCTTCTGCCGCCAGGCTTTTACTTTTCTGCAGTAAAGTAGTAATTGATAGGGTAGTATGTCATGAAAACCACTTTAAAATCCATTTATGAGTAGGACTGGATATAAGGAAATATGTAAGGAAAAGCAAAGGGTGCAATTAAAAACCATTATGGTGATTGTAAATAATCAGGGTAATGTCTAAAGGCTCAAGCTTCTGTATTACTTGCATGTGTGGAGACATACGGTATAATGAACTCCTGAATGTTGTTGATGAGCTGCTTTCCCACCATTATGATAAAGAGCTGTTCAGCCAGCTCAATGAGGCACCCACCAGGACCACACTGAAATCAGAAAACATGCAGAAATATCAGGAGATACAGGAATCCATTCCTTTATGAAGAATTTATAAGGATAGGGAAACCTGGAAGTAATAAGCACTCACGTCTTCGTTTCTCATCCCAAATAAGGTTCCATAGTTTGTGGGGTAGCCTACAAACCTAAAGAAGAAAAGAAAGGAGAACAGCTGTGTTTCCTGACAGAATCAGTGGTTTATTCATGGATCTCCATGATTGGATCATGTCTGACCTTCCCTTAAAGAAAGCAACGTAGAAGGGAGACGAGTAGAAGTTGACGAACTGGAAGATGAAGACTTTGAGCGTGAAAGCGTTGTCATGCTGGGTTTGTGTTCTGTGCATTTCTGTAAATAAATACAGAAATATCTTTAACATCAACGTTCACACCACTTTTAGGAGAAATTAACCTCAGAGCCCTGTTACAATAATTTTTTTGTGAATTTTTTTTGTAATGGAATTTAACAAGAATAAAAGGGAATCTGATTTTCAGCAGTGACAAGAGTAAAGCTTCTGGTGAAATAGAATGAAAATGATCACTTAAGGTTAGTGATACAGAATAGAATGGAACTTTTATTGTCTTTGTCACAAGTACAGAGCAGCGAAATAAACTCTGCATTTAACCAATCCCTTGGGGATGCATTGGGCTGTCGTTGTGGTGCGCCGGGGGAGAAATGTGGGGGTGTAAGGGTCTTGCTTACATTCTATGAACTCAGAACCTCTGGGACCCAAACGCAATGCCCCAACCACTAAGCCGACACCCCTGCATACAGTTTTTCTATCCTGAATACACGGTGGTGGCCCTATCATGTTATGATATGCTTTTCTTTCTGCAGGAAAACGGAAGCTGCTTAGATTTTATGTGGATGGAGTTTAATAAAGAACAACTTAAAAGCAGAAAAAGATTTATAACTGGGTTGAAAGTTTCCGTTTCAGAATAACATCCCTGAATATGAAACCAGAGGTCGATTTGCATCATAACATTATAAAAGTCCAAACCTAAACTGCATGGAGCAGCTGTGGTTCAGTACACTGTTATTTATAAAAGCTCCCCATTCAATCTAAACCATTTCACCAAAGACAAATAGGTGAAATTCAAGTCAAAAGCAGAAGTTTCAGGATTTTTGTTTTATCTTCTTCCTCCACACCAAATATACGCTACTTTGTGTTTGTGTGTCACAGAGAATTCCAGTAAATTATAGAAAAGATTGCAGCTGTAAGGTGAAATTATAAAAAAAAAAAAAAAAAAGAGGTTTCATGGTTATTGGAAATTACTGTTTCTAATAAAACCAGACATTTAAAGAAAGACAATATAGTGTTTTCATTATCTAGTTCAAAGAAATTAGATTTTCCTTTTCTTTTTTAAACCCTGATGTTTTAATAATTTACCATCAATTTACCATTAAATGCAATATACAATATACAGCTTAGCTGTTTTATTTTCCTGGGAACTTACCCCATTTAGTGAGCTGCTCGGCTAAGGCTGTATAAATCTGCCCCATGAACAGAATGAAGCCCAGGTTGACAATGCTGCTGCAGATGTTCGCTATAGTCCCAGCCTGAGGAGGACGTGACATCAGCATTATAACAACATGTTATCTTTAACATTGTCTCTTTAACTCCAACATACCTCAGTACGCAGCACAGGGCTCCCGCTTTGGTACATCATCACGCTGATGACCCCTCGACACATGACCACCGTCACCAGGAAGATTATAACAACACATAGCTGAGGAGACATTATGTTAAAGGGGAAATAGAGAATGTATCTGACTAAGTGAAAAAAGAAAAAAAAAAGGCAATTTAATTAATTTCAGAAGGAAAATGTAATCTACTGTGACAGCCAGAAAGCTGACTGATCATTTACCACATGTCACACTCTAGGGAAGAAAATCTACTTTTTTTCCTATCACCATATTTTCTCCTCCTGGTTAAAGGTGACAGTTCTGCCACATTCTCTTCTATTTTTACATTACAGACTGATCAGATTTCTAGAAGATGTTGAAAATATTGTTTTTAGGCTAATCCTATTTTAAGCATCTGCACAGTTTTTTCCCTGACCCAGCTTCTGCGTTTCTCATGATGCTGTGTGGGCATCAATGTTCCCTGACAAACGTATGATGCGCTCACTAAAAAGCTGGATTTATGCAGACGTTAAATTACACAGGAATCACAGTTCACTTGATAACTGGCTGACATACAAGACAGCCGACGGTTGGTGTGGGTTTGGTTTGAGGATAGTAGAATAAGGGTGCTGATTCCAAACATGTACTTATCTTTATTTTAATGTCTAAACTAAATGTAAAGAAAAACCTTCATTTACTGTTAATTGGTCACATAAAATCCCAGTAAAAAAAAAAAAAAAAACAACCAGTGGAGCTTTGTTTTTGACAAATAAAAAGTTCATATTGTATCAATGCTTTTGGAAGGAAATGCTTTGTTTTGTTTTTTGTTTTTTATTTCTGCAGCTCTTGAAAAGGGCAACTGATTCTATGAGAAGAAATGCATATATGATTATTAATATTTTCTAAATTTGTTTTCCTTATACATATATACTTCGAGTTTTCAGAACTGCACAATTAAGATAGAGAAGATTGATATTAAACATATAATAGAGTTAAAAGAATAAGTATAAAAGGTTCTCATTCTACAGAAGCTTCTCTCCTTTAACCTCTTTTATCATCATCATTACCAAAGGGGATTTAGGTTTTTCCTGCTTACATTGAATGCAACATTAACATTGTCACAGCTCTTTTCAGAAAAGTGTCAGAAATTTGATTCTCAGATTATAACTAAGATCATCAGATCGACCATAGCTCTATAAACTTTGTAGAACATTAATGCTGCTTGATTAAACTTCAGTGTCTCCACATATGAAGTTTTTTTATTGCTACTGAACTGTTTCATCTACAGAATATATCCCAGATGTTATCAGGTTTACTAAAGTAAACATTTGTAAAACATTGCTGAACCCAAATATAATAGGATGAAGAGTTCACTCAGGTTTAGATAATGTCAACAGATTTAAAGTTCTAGGAAAAAAAATACTTCCTCATATTCAGGGAAAATATGACTTTGTTTCCCAGAACATCGTCTTCACTCTAATATCAGTTGTTAAGGAAGCATCAGTTGTGACTCACCATCAGTATGATGATCATGGAGCCGGTGAACATGCGAGACAGCCTCGTCTTCTCTGGAAAGTATGGCTCTTTGACTCCAGTCACTGGATTTTCTTCCACCGTCGGCGCCGTGGCAGCAAACTCAGGTCGAGGACGCTCCTGGCAGAAGACAGCAGGTCTGATTACTTTTAGGTGTTTCTTTTCTAAATGGAAATTTGCTATGTTTGCTGTTTCATGATCATTTTTCATATATATTTCTATATGTATATCTATATAGATATATTTTCATTTATAACGTCCCATAGTCATTACATTGAAAGGAACCATAGGAATGAAATAGTATAGGGCTGAAAAACCTCTTCCTCATGGAAGTCCATGCAGTCCCAGTGATGAGCCAGAGTGGCCATCTTTCTCTTCCAGAACTCCAGGAAGGTCACAGCCCAGAAGGACATGAATACACTGAAGAAGACGGTACCAGGGTGGTCAAACAGGTACCCCAACTGTAACACAGAGGAGGGAAGGAGCATCTATCACCTCTGGGAAAATTAATGAAAGCAGTAACAAACTTATTTTACCTTGGCCATGGTGCAGATATCAGACATGTTCCAGGCCTCACATGTTTTGCAGAGCGGACACATTGGATACTTTGCACCACTGGTACAGATGTCCTCCCTTTAGAAATAGGGACAGAAATAAAGAGAACCAAGTTGCAACTCAGAAGAAACATAATCTGGATAATTAATATTAATATGGATATGGCAGGTGGTAAAATAAATCAGCTCTCTCTCTCTGGCAGAAAATAAGGCTGTTTTTTCTGGTAAACACTTCAAAGATATTCCAGACAGGTTTTTATTCTGAAACAAGTCTATTTACTGACTTTTGGAGTTTGATTTTATCCAGGGCTATATGAGTAAAAGGGGTGAAAACATTTAAGTTCATAGCATGATTTTCTATATAACTGACAAAAACAAAGAAAAAAAATACTAATTGTTTTCCTTCTTCTACACTACAAATGTTTACCATCACTCTGTGCTGGTTTATAAAATAAAATCCAATAAAATATGCTGTAGTTTAATAAAATGTCAAAGGCCATGACTGTTTGTGGTGCTCTACGCTTCAATAAATGCCAAGTTAAAAAAAAAGCAGTTTGGTAAAATTGCCTTTTCCATGTCTTGTTTATTTTCCAGATAAGTGCTGAAGATTTGATTTATTTTATTTTCCCAGAAATCACATTATTCCTTAGAGGAAAGTTATAACATGGTCATATTTTTTCCCCTCAAAAGATCAATACTAATCTCATATCTGCACATTAGGTGCTGAACTGGAGCTCGTGCTAAATATCTGGATTCTCGGTGGTTAATCTACCGACAAAGATTTCCTAAAAGAAACTGCGGCCGATTTCTTACTGTAGCTAAATTAACCATAATTATTAGTCATCTTTAATGGCTGCTTTATACAAAGACGTTGTTCTTTGTTGCAGTCTGGCATCAATTGTATTTTCTATAGATCAGCTTGTGTGTTGTTTTAATTATTCAGACTCACGCTGGGGTGTTGGTGTCCATGTGCATGATTCCTGACACAAAAACCAGTGTTCCCACTATGGCTGCTGGCAGCAGCCAGGCTGTGTAGAAACCTGCAGGGACACAAAGCTCCATTAGACTGCAGCTCTATGAGGGGAGGAGAGGAAGCGCACTGTCATAGCTGCACCCAGGTTCTAATAGTTTCACCATCCAAAACCCCTCTGTGTGTTATCTGCTTATGCCTTCCTGGCTCTGCTGCTGTTGGGTATCTATTCCTGCAAAACGTTTGCTCTAAACATAATTGTCTGTAAACAATATCTATCTGCAGGGGAAAGCTGGAGGCTTGTTTTTATTGCAGACCGGCATTTGTTTAGGTTCATTTCTTTCATAGATTTTGCTTATTATTCACCAGCTCATACATTTAGTTAAGTTTTTGTTTATCAGTAGTGAGAGAGATGCGGATAATTGACAGATTTCATTCAGCTCTCCACCATGTTTACATTTTTAAAAGCATTGTTCATTTTCATGAGAAGAAGTGGAGATGCAGAGATGAAGATACACTATATTGCCAAAAGTATTTGCTCACCCATCCAAATTATTGGAATCAGGTGTTCCAATCACTTCCATGGCCACAGGTGTATAAATTCAAGCACCTAGGCATGCAGACTGTTTTTACAAACATTTGTGAAAGAATGGGTCGCTCTCAGGAGCTCAGTGAATTCCAGCGTGGAACTGTGATAGGATGCCACCTGTGCAACAAATCCAGTCGTGAAATTTCCTCGCTCCTAAATATTCCACAGTCAACTGTCAGCTGCATTATAAGAAAATGGAAGTGTTTGGGAACGACAGCAACTCAGCCACGAAGTGGTAGGCCACGTAAACTGACGGAGCGGGGTCAGCGGATGCTGACGCGCATAGTGCGAAGAGGTCGCCAACTTTCTGCAGAGTCAATCACTACAGACCTCCAAACTTCATGTGGCCTTCAGATTAGCTCAAGAACAGTGCGCAGAGAGCTTCATGGAATGGGTTTCCATGGTCGAGCAGCTGCATCCAAGCCATACATCACCAAGTGCAATGCAAAGCGTCGGATGCGGTGGTGTAAAGCACGCCGCCACTGGACTCTAGAGCAGTGGAGACGCGTTCTCTGGAGTGACGAATCGCGCTTCTCCATCTGGCAATCTGATGGACGGGTCTGGGTTTGGCGGTTGCCAGGAGAACGGTACTTGTCTGACTGCATTGTGCCAAGTGTAAAGTTTGGTGGAGGGGGGATTATGGTGTGGGGTTGTTTTTCAGGAGCTGGGCTTGGCCCCTTAGTTCCAGTGAAAGGAACTCTGAATGCTTCAGCATACCAAGACATTTTGGACAATTCCATGCTCCCAACTTTGTGGGAACAGTTTGGAGCTGGCCCCTTCCTCTTCCAACATGACTGTGCACCAGTGCACAAAGCAAGGTCCATAAAGACATGGATGACAGAGTCTGGTGTGGATGAACTTGACTGGCCTGCACAGAGTCCTGACCTCAACCCGATAGAACACCTTTGGGATGAATTAGAGCGGAGACTGAGAGCCAGGCCTTCTCGTCCAACATCAGTGTGCGACCTCACAAATGCGCTTCTGGAAGAATGGTCAAAAATTCCCATAAACACACTCCTAAACCTTGTGGACAGCCTTCCCAGAAGAGTTGAAGCTGTTCTAGCTGCAAAGGGTGGACCGACGTCATATTGAACCCTATGGATTAGGAACGGGATGTCACTTAAGCTCATATGTGAGTCAAGGCAGGTGAGCAAATACTTTTGGCAATATAGTGTAGCTCCATGGAAAAGTATTCAGATTAGTAAATATACCATAGCTAATTGTGCTATTTAGGTCACCTGCTAAGACAGTTAAAATGGTCAAAGTTCTCCTCTGAGCTCCGGGTGCTTCAGTGAATTCGATAAATTTAAGAAATACCACAATTAAACGCCAAAAGTAGGAAGTCGTTACAATCTAGTTTTTATGTGCTGATCTTACAGCACAAAGATAAAACAAATAATAAAAACCAAGCACTGAAAATGTGCTAAAACCTTATTGTTCAATTTTCCCCCTTAAAATCAGTGTTTACGTTTTTAGAAAAATTCAATCAGCAGTTATTTCTCCAGAATTAAATAATTTGAGGTTATGTTCTTTTTTTAAAAAGCAGTGCTATAAGTGACATGAGACAAACTAACTAGCAGGGGATCTACAGGGCAAGTATTTCATTTACAGAAAATACATAAAATATATGTTTGAATTTTATGAATTGCATAATATTGCTTATGTGACCTTTGTGAATGTGATAAACATTCTGGTTTCAAACTGTAATAGACTCTGGCTTATTCCTCTTAATCTGGATTATTGCACATTGCAAATCCCAATGGAAAGGACATTTAAAAGTGGAGCCATTTCTAGTTTCTTTAGCAAAAAAGTAAGAGAGTCAGAAATAAGTGGAGATGAGGAAAATGATGTTACTATAAGTTAAGATGAGAAGATTTCCAGGTAAACCACCTGGTATGTATCTATTCTCTGCATAGGTTGCAGAAATATTAGATTTTAATCTCTTTTGAGACGTTTTGTTTGTACAAGAGCCGTCTCCTTAAGCTCTCTTTAAACAGACAGCTTTAATCAGTCCTGTATGGTAATTAAATTTTTTTTTATGTGAATTTTTCTTCTGTATTTATCTGTTTGTGGACCTTTTTTTTGTTTAGTCCAAAAAAGAAAAAGTTTCCTTTGATCATTAAAGGAAAAAAATGACACAATAAAATTCTTTTTTAGTGTTTTTTATGTTTTGTTTCTTTTAAATCCATTTACATATGAGAGATTTAGGTTAAGTATTGCTACTCTATCAGTTTTGAGCCCCTCCCATGTAAAATTTATTAGGTGCACCACTGGAGCAGACAAATATCATCAAGGAACAAATTTGTTGAAAAGAAAAATCCGGATAAACAGGAAGAATTTCATACCAAGCCAAGCGAAGTAGAGGGCAATCTTCTCTCCAAAGTACTCCCTAATGTGATCCAGTGGTTGATACTTGTACCATTTGCACCAGCGAGCCCAGTAGTAGTGCAGGACCTGCCTCTGATTCAGCTCTTCAGGATGTGTCTCATAGCCCGGAAGCTTGAAAGGACCCTGTTGGAAGCCGATAAATAAAGCTGTTAGAGAAGGAAAAAGGCTCATTATTAATCAAACAGCAGGTGATGATCATTTACCTCATGCAGAGGATAAGCTGCTGAGTAGGCCCCTTCGTTTACTAGTCTGTCCACCCCCACCTCTGTCCTCTTCCTTTTGCCGTACACAGTCCGAGCTAGGATCTCATAAACCTGGATTAGGACACAGATACTAGATCTGTAGGAGATGGGAAACAACTGTCCCAGAAGACCACTGTGTAGCTGCAGGAGTGTTACTTACGATCTGGTGTCTCTGAGTATTAGTAAAGTAGCTCTCTTGGTCTTCAGAGCCGAGGAACCTGAGTAAAAGAAATCCTTTCTAAGCACAGAAACACTGGAAGTGAATTAGTTGTGTTTGAGTTGACTGACGCCCTGCAGAGCTCACCTGTTCATCTTTGACTTGCGGAAGGCGCAGGTGTAATAGTCCAGAGGCCTGTTTGGCACTGATTCCATCATTATGTTGGGTGTAGACAGTTTTTTTAGAACCACAGAAGATGTGTTGAGGTCCAGATGTTGCTGGGCCTGGAAGTTACCAGAGACTTAAAATGTCTTGCAAAATAATTCACAGCTTCAGAATAGAGAACGACCAATATAAATATATTAGCCGGCCAATATTTTAGGCTCATATTTACATTTTTTATGTTTCAGTATCATCCTATGTATACATGCATTTGCTGATTCGTTAGTGCATTCAGCAGCCATGCCTTGAGATAATATAAGGATCATACATTGCAGCTCATTCTGCTATCTATTGTTAGCGTTTTTTGATAATAAATGTCTCATTTTGTATAAATTTAGACCTTTTTAGCCGTTGTTATCATTGTACTACTTTTATCATATTAATGGAAAAGGAAAAAACAATACTGGCCTAAAGAATCTGCATCACATACCTGGAATCGATTAGACTGATGTCAAAATAATTGGTATCAGCATTGGCCTTAAAAAATCTGTATCGGTCCATCTACCCCTAAGCCTTCCAACACTTTGTTGCAATGCAACCAGAACTTTAATAATATTAGGTTTTTATCCAACACTTTAACACAAGTTAGAGTATCATTATGATGAAATGGAAAGAAAATTCTTGCTGTTTTCTAAGATTTTTACAAATATCTGAAAAGTCTGATATATAAATGCATTCAAACTGAAAATGTATTAAGTTGTAGAATATTTTTTTAGGGTATGTCCTGTCCATAAAGGAAAAACGTCAAATTCATAAAAGAAAAATGCTGATAAGGAGACCTAAAACTGAACTTCTAGGTCTTTATGAACACCCCTATATGAGATACTGCTTGTTTTTGCCTTTGTCTTACTGATCTGGTTTGTAAATTAGCTATTAACTAGAAGATCAACAAACATGGGATTGGTTGTGCTTCGAATAGAAGGATATTTTTTGTCGTTTGTTTGTTTTTTCCTAATCAAATAAACTTTATGAAATGAAAACCTTCAACTCATGATCCGAAAAGTTGAACACAGCGGTGGCCTCATTGTGCTGAGGGGATGCTCTTCTTCAGGATGGTAGGAGGATGGATGGGGCTACATAAAGGCTGGGGGATAACCAAGCTTTTTCCACACAAAAAAAGCAAAAGTGGTTCTATGAAATACTTGCTTGGGGGGTGATTACAAATGCACTTCAAACTTCTCAGAATTTCAGTTTTCCACAAAAATGTAAAAAAAAAAAAAAAAAGGTTAGGTTTATTTAGTGGTTGTAATGTACATATGTTTAAACTAGACGTTTAATCTTTCTAATTTTATCGCTGGTTTTACTCAAAAACTTCTCTAGAGATGAAGATGGGCTCATAATTAGGATCTAATAAGGTAAATGTTTAATTGTTTAGACCTAAATGACTATGTTTGCTGAGAAAGAACAGCTTTGCTGACCTGCAGTGGAGCTCGGAGGCAGAGTTCCTCTGCATAATACACCAACACATCCCAGGGGGCGCTGACCTTAAGAAAATGGATGGTTTTCTTTTCATTGGCTGTTTCCTCCTGATTAAAGAAAAAGTGGAAATAGAAAATTATAACACAGTATTCAATCACATTAACTGCTACAGTTACACTGCATTCATGAAATAAATAACAGCACCTTTTCCAACAGCAGCCCGACACTCTGCAGATTATGGACAAACCTGTCCCTCCACTCTGCCAGTTGTGCAGACTCCCTCTCCTCACCAGTCCTGTTGCTTTTCCCCTTCCCTCGCTGCTTGCGGCGTGATCGGATCTCCCACACCAGCACAAAATCTGAAACCCAAAATCAAATGGTAGAAATAAACTAAAAGCTTGTCATTTAAATCTACAGGAGATTGGTGCTGTTGCTGCATACCAATTTTGGTTCTTCCATCTTTGAAGTAGTTTCCCTTCTTTAAAGCTGTTTGGTTATCTGTTGCCATACAGCACATGTGAATTGGATCTTCGCAGCGGAGATCATCCTCTGAAAACTGAAAGGAGCAAAATCCTTCAGCTAATATGAACAATAAATAGATGGTTATGTGAAATTACCTTTTCATGTTTTGTCAACTTAAAACCTCAAGCTTAAATACATTTTAGAGCAATTTTACATGACAGATCAAATCAAAGTGTAGCATTTCCATTTATCAAAACACCTCAAACTTCATTAGATTGGACAGAGTGTACATCAAGCTTTGCCATAGAGTTTCTCTACTGGATTTAGGTCTATTCTAATCCTTATAGTTATATTTATATTTAAATATTGCCTGTGCAAATTCTCATTCATCAGGCTCATAATGAACACAAAACACTAAATAGAAAACAACCAGATGTTTCTCAGTTTTTCGGAATGTTTTGACACCTACCCAGTAATCTTTGTCGGCTCACACAAGATCAACCTGTAGTTAGAGCGCTGGTGTTCCAAGCGCCATGGATGGTTCTGTTTGATTTGTTATGTATTAAATGACCAAAGACAAATATCATACAAATGGTAACTGGCCTGTACTTATATAACGCCTTTTTTAAAGTCAGGAGACTTCAACCAAACAATTTACACTACATTCAGTCATTTACTCACACACTGATGGTGACAACCTACGTTATAGCCGCAGCTGCCCAGGGGTTCACTAACAGAATCGGGGCTGCGATACACTAGCACCACCAGGTCCTCTGACCACCATCAGTAGAGGATGCGGTGATGTGTCTCACCCAAGGACACAACGACACTGAAAGCCGCAGCCAGGGCTGGAACCTTCAACCTTTCGATTTCAGGGCAACCTCCTACATCCTACACCACTGGGCCAAAAGAATCTCCTGCAAAGGTGTTGAATTTTTTTCGGAAAAGCTGAACAAAGGCCAGTTTTGTGGAGTGATATAAATTATCCCACCAGGCAACCATGTGTGTTTTTCCTCCACTTTCATCCAATGTCCTTTAGCTCCATCCATCCCACAGCATGGCTCTGGCACCACCCTGTCTCACCCATAACAATTAATGCTATATTTATTTTAATAATCTTCACTTTTTGATGAGGTCACTTTCATCCTCATGTTTTCCCTACATGCCTACACACAGGATTTCTTCTTACCACTTCCCCATAGCAACCAAATGTGTGGAGAGGATGATCAGCTGGAGAAACTCTGCAGTATTTTTATTGTTGCTATCTCAGCTGCCTCTCCATTTCCAGTTGTCCATAGTGATTTTATTATTTGTATGATGGTTCAAACAGTGCATCATAAGATCTACAAAGCTTTAGATATTTTATTTTTTTGCTTGCTCTGGATCATATTCAGAGGTATCAGCATAAAATAATTGTTTAAAAACTATGCATCATTGTCCTTCATCTTCATAATTATGTACCATATTTAACCCAGACTTAATTATGCAATCATGATGGAAAAATAAGGTGTCTGAATACTTTTGTGGAGCTATGCAAAAGAGTCTGTGGCTCTACTTGTGAACTGTTTGTTGCCTCTTTATGAGCTTCAACTAGAAACTCTTGTGCAAGACACTGCACCATAAAAGCCTGCACTCTGCAGTAATGAGCCTGGAAACGTGGAGACGGAAAGCAGTCTCACTGAGCTTTTTACTAGATAAAAAAAAACTATATGTTGTACAATCATGTGGCAAAGAGTAAACTCCTGAATTGTTCATTATGATCTCCGGCAGCAGTTAATGCAGGCAGATAAAAGAAAACAATGTCAGCTAAAACGTCTGAAGTTATTCAAGTGTGAAAAGATAAGGTAGGGAAATAGAGTAACTTATTGGCTGCATGTCGGATGGGCTGAAGGGAATACACTGGCCAATTATCTGAGAAAAGTGAAAAAAAGTGCTTACACATGCAGGTGGGAAAAAGCCCCCATTCTGCAGACTGCCGTAGACGTCTATGGTGTGTGTTTCTCCTCCAGTGTCCGTATCCAGGAGGTGTTCCCTGTCTCCCATCCGCAGCTCCCAGCTCTTTTTTATCATGATTCAAAAGATGCTTGTTTTGCTCCAAAAACAATATAATAATTACTCATATGAAACTGAGCAGCAGATAGAATGTTAAAGTAAGTAAAATTCTCTAATACCACCTTAAGGAAGTAACAGAAAAACCCAGAATAAATGAAAGGATACCTTGTCTCCAGTGAAAATTAGGCTGGGGGATTTTCAACAGTCTGTGCTTCCATTGTCCTCTTCCTCCTCTTCATCTCAGTATCCATCAAGCCCCCCCAACCCCAGCTCCACTGCATTAGCTGTGGAGTACCGTAATGGATCTAACAGGGAGGCAACACCATCTGCTCTGATTTGCTGCATCTCTACTGGGGGAAATGTACACTGCACATTTTATAGGCATAAATAATTTAATGTAGAGTCAGGAGGAGATGAGACCAGGCGATCTCTACCACGATTAAATGAAAAACAGGATTCATCTGTTGGCTGTGTACTACTGTATATTCATCTCTCCAAACAAACTGTTAAACAATGGTCTTATAGCCAGTTCTAAAACTTACACACATTTACATAAATTATTAAGCAAAAGCATCAGTGGAGAAGCTCCACCCTAATGGTTCTATGTAAAACAGTAAAGTAGAGGTTAATACACAAAACCTGAACAATTTCTAAACATAGTGACCGTTCAGTGAAACACCACAATCAATAATCCTAAATCAGGGACCATCTTCCATTGTCGCTGCCTTAGAGGACTATGGATGAAAAGTAGCTATGGGGCTAACTCCATCATATTTATGTACATGCATTTGCCAAAAACGCATTGATTAATATGCACAGCCCTTGTTCAATTTATAAAAAGCTGAAAAAGAAGCTAAATGCTCATGTCCCCCAAATGCAAAATGTAGAGAGGTCATTGAGTCAGTAAACAGAATACATCTGCAATTTAATCTTTCTATAAATAGTGCGGCTTTGTGAACACCTTTGGAAGTTACATAGAAAACGTTGGTAACCATAATTTTATCCACAGAAAATAGAGTTACCTGCATGTTTGCAGCATCATGCTGAGGTAATTCATTTCTTCAGTAGGGCACAGAAGTGCATCAAACTTAGTTAAATATAAAAATATCCAGATAAAGGTAATGAGGCTGCCTTGGACTCCAGACTGCTGAGGAGCTTTAACTTTCAGGAGGTCAATAACCATAACTTACAGCTGGGTATATTAATCTGGTGCAGGCATGCCCAAAGTCGGTCCTCAAGAACCGCTGTCCTGCAGGTTTTAGAGGTTTCCCTGATTTAGCAAAGCTGATTCTGATGATTGCAGTTTAGCAAAAGCTTGTTAAACCTCTGCCACACCTTAACGATTTAGACCAGCAATGGCCTGACGTATGAAAAATCTGGCAAACATGCTGGCATACACTGGATAAGTCATGGGTACAATTTGTATAAGTTATGAGTACGCTGAAGTAACGCTGAAACACGTTGAAATAAGCTGGCACAAGTCGATATTTGGCAAGTACGTCGGGAAATTTTGAGCATGCTAAACAAAATTCCCAGAGGTATGTCAGCATCTGCTCATATGTGGCCATAAGTTATATCAGCTATCAATGAAAATCAGCTGTGCTGGAGCAGGGAAACCTCTTAAACCTACAAGAGAGTGGCCCTTGGCCTGACTTTGGGCAAGCCTTTGTTAGATTTCATTTTTGTTTATATAAAAATATGTTCAAACTTGACAGACTGTGCCAAGCCGATCTACTAACCGGTTGTACTCAGAACAAATGCTGATCATCAGAACATGCAAAACACTGGGAGGATGATCTCTATTTATAATATAATGTATTTATTTAACCTCTGAAATGCAATTATCAAACTTAAAATCAATTATGAATGCAGTTTCTGGGTCTTCATTCAGCACATTTGAAAGTCATGCAAACTATCATGCAAAATGTCTGCAGTTACTGTAGCGAAAAAGAAGTGTAAACATACAATGACAGACAGGAGGAAGAGATTCCATCCAAATGCCAGTATATGTGGACTATAATCTAATAAAAGTAGCATATTTTTAGTTTGCATGAAAGAAAAAACAACAACCAAACCCTTGCATCATATTAGCTCACAATCTCAGTTAGTGGTGTTTTCCAAAGCTGTTTCTGTTTTTCAATGCCAGTAGCCCCGGATGCACTTCAAATGTGGGGCTGTGCAAAGACTCTACTATAAGTGCCTCTCACTTTTTTTCTTTTTTTTTTTCTTGTTCTCAAAAAATGCTCTTTTAATAAGGGCATAGTCTTGTAATGTTTTCCAAAAATCAGCAAATTCTTTCAAAAAATATGTAACCCTTTCGAAAGAATCAACCCCCCCTTGAACTTTTTGAGCTTTTGCAACATTTGAGGCTTCAAACATAAAAATATAGATTTTTTTTTTAAGTCAACAAGTTGAACACCATTATGGAATTGAAAGACGTTTAATGGGTATTTTAATCTTCAACAAGTAAAATTACGAAAAAAATTGGGTGTGCTAAACGATTTAGCCACCTTGAGTTAATACTTTGTAGCGCCACCTTTTGCTGCAATTACAGCTACAAGTTGTTTAGGTTATGTCTCTATCAGTTTTGCACATTGATAGACTGAAAATTTTGCCCATTCTTCCTGGAAAGCAGCTGGAGCTCAGTGAGGTTGGATGGTGAGCGTCTGGGAACAGCAGATTTCAGTTCTTTCTACCATTGGATTCAGCTCTGGACTTCGACTTGGTCATTCTAACACCTGGATATGTTTATTTGTGAACCATTCCACTGTAGATTTTGCTTCATGTTTTGGATCATTGTCTTGTTAGAAGATAAATCTCCGTCCTAGTCTCTGGTCTTTTGCAGACTCTATCAGGTTTTCTTCCAGAATTGTCCTGTATTTGGCTCCATCCCTATCCTGTCCCTGAGTCTCCCACTTCAGCTCTGCAGTTCATCCAGAGTAATCATGGGCCTCTTGGCTGCATCTCTGATCAGTCTTCTATTTTCTATATCTATCTATATAGATGCATCTCTTTATGGCACTTGTATACATTAGTAAGAAAGGAAGGTGGACAGACAGAAGAGGAAGGAATGCCTTTAAAGAGCTAAAGCCTTTAATATAGACCGGCAGCTCCACCACTGAAGTACGTGGCGACCCTGATGCATCTTAAATGAAATTTGAGCTACAGCTTAAGAGACTGTCCATATTTTCAATTAATAAGGTAAGATGAAATGCAGCAGCCTCTTGTGGTAGCTGCAGGACAAAGCTGGAGAGAACTGTTCATTGGTCAACTATAATGTCAACTATGGAGGAAAGGAACAAAGACAAAGTAATAAAGGGAAACAAAATCTTCACTTGTTTCTGTTTTTTCTGAAGTTCTGAGTTTTTTTGAAAAGAGAGTTGGTGCTTTAGTAAAGGCTGCTTACCCAGTACGTTAGAAAGTACCAGTGTGGAATTGATCTCCTTACAGAATTGCAAAGTTGTTAAAAATTTGTGTTTCCAGATTTTATACCATTTGGGTAAAATTTTAAGGTGTGTTTTACATTTTTTAAGAACTAGTTTTGATAAGGAGTTTTATTACAGGCAATGAGAACAGTTAAACTCTCCATAATACAGCACCAAATACTAACACTAGTAAAGTTATCAAAACAAAAATAGCTTTTATTTGCTCTTTAAGCATCTCTGATTTCATGGTGCATCAAGAAATTGGCCTTTAATGGAGATTTGCACTAAATATATATTTTTTTTCTGACAAAGCAGGCTGCTAATTATTTTTTACTAAGAGCAATATTTTTGCTACCACTTATTTGTGACAAAACAAAACAAGTTAAATATAACCAGAGGTGGAAAGAGTACTAAAAAATTACAATTGAGTATAAATTATCTTTAATTTGCCTAAATTCTACTCAGAGTAAAAGTAAAATTACCCATCTCAAAAGTTACTCAAGTAAAAGTAGAAAATTACTTCTTTTAAAATGTAATTTGAGTAAAAGTTACTTAGTTACTTTGAGTTATTTAATGCAAAAAAGGATGAGTCATGAATAGAATTGACCACAAGGTGTTTTAATCGATTTCAAGGCATATTTCAATGGACATCCACACTTGCACAAGATCAGCTGTGCTAAAGAACATACTTCCTCACAGCACAAGGACAGTCAGAACCTGTACCATAAAGTGCAAACAATTTTCAGTCCTACTGTCCAACAGACAACACCATGATAGGAATAAAGAAATTTAAACTACATTTTAAAGTTTTCAAAATGCACACAAAATTAAATGCCCAAAAGATACCAGAAATCAAACTAAAACGCAACAGGATGCCACTGTTATTAACAAGCTCCTCATTTAATGATTTTAACTGACACTTGTTTTACTTTATTAGTGATTTTTAACTGACACTTGTTTTTACATCAATTGTTTATATGTTTGAATTGTGTAAATAAAGTGCCTTTAAAAGTCAAAAGTCTTCTTCTATTTTTTAATGGTGATTGAGTGTCGGTTCTGTAACACAGAACTGACACTCAGTAACGTGAGGGGGTTTTAAATGTAGCAAAGTAAAACTACTTAGGTTAAAATTTACTCGAGTAAAAGTAAAAATTACATTTTCAAAAACTACTCAGAAAATTACAAATTACTCATAAAAAGGACTCAATTACAGTAATGTGAGTAAATGTAATTCGTTACTTTCCACCCCTGAATATAACACACCCAAGAAACAATCAAATAAATGAATAATGGTTGAAGCATGCAATAAGGACATCCAGTATAGGCCCACAGTTAAACAGACATCAATACTGGTGGGTTTTATAATTTTTATCTAAGAACTTTATCCAACCTTCATCAGCCATGTTCTGAATTCATAAGTAAACTGCAGTCTTACTGATGTAATCAAAACAAAACAAGCTAAATATTCCTCTTTTGTTCTTTTAACCTGCATGTTCACAATCCAATTAATAAATTGTTTTCTTTCAATGTTTATATGCATGAGAACTATATTGGATTTGGAAGTTCAGAGTTGGTGGGAAACCTTAAAATTTTACAGACTTTACTTTTCATTTTCTTGACTGCACAGAGGCTTCAGCTTTGGAGTAGAAACTAGAAAACCTGACCATGTATTGTTACATAAAGTCAATAAATAATTTATGTTCCTCTTTTAGCGACAAAAAGCTATTAGTAGCTGAACTGTTGGCTTGTTTGAAGGTCTCTGCATAATCTGCCACAGCTTCATGCAGACTACAGTGTTATATTTGATCAGAGTAAAACCTTCATGGAGCTGCTATAACCTGTGAAGCTGCTGGTCCTGCTCCAACATGAACACCGCAGCTT